AGATGTGACACATTAGTGTTCATGTTAACATCTCTCACTGAAAGTCTGAAGCACCGTCTCAAGTCCCATAACAGAAAGTTAGAGACAAAGTCAGATCTGGCTCTAAACTAAATCTTCACTGAGTGTGTATACATGCACATCAATAACCCGGTTATTAGCCATATCCCGGTTATGTGAGTATTCGGGTTACTGCGTATACATGTGCACTGAGAAACCGGGATACTCATATTCGCGTATACATGATCAAATGGAGTATCCCGGTTTCTTGACATAATCTTACAAATGCGCAGGCGCAAAAATTAACTTAAATCAATTTCATAAACCAGAAAAAATACAAACCGTGAGCTCCTTTAGCATAAGAAGCTAAGGAATTACGAGATATCCCACAGTCCACTGTGCAGATTCTTCATTAAAATCTTCTGCATAAATAAACTCAACTTTACAACATATAAACCATAAACACTATAGAGCCACATCAGCCCGTTTGACCATATAATTCAGCTGTGATCACATTTGTTTACGTTTTACAGAAACGAAACTTAAGACCGTAGGCTAATTAGCATAAACTGTTAGCGGCGATAAAAACAACTCGCTCCTTGCGCCGCTGATGCGATCAGTTTTTTTGGACTAAATGACACGACTCTGTGGATTATGTGTGTTATTTCTGTGACAGAAGAGGCGCTAATGATGGTAAGTGTGTTTCGTGCATATAGAGTATAGGAGATAGTTCATGTTTTAGCTTTTCAGCGATCACACGAGTGCAGGTCGTACGAGTGCAGATTGTACGTGTGCAGGTTTAGCTCAGCTCTTAATTTTACAGTCATTTCACTCGTTTGGTCAATTTATTTATGTTGGTCAATTTATATATGTGACTACTGTTGTGGTGAAAGGCTGGAAAGTGTCTTTTGGACGCATGCGCACTCAACTTTATGTTGCAGTAACCGGGGTACTGCGTATACATGCCACAAGTAACCCTGTTACTATCGGAATAAACCAGCTACAGTAACCCGGTTTCTAATAACGGGATACTGCCATAACCGGGTTACTGAAACCGGGTTACTGCGTATACATGCACCATCAAGAAACCGGGATACTCAAAAAACCCGATCATAACCGGGTTATTGATGTGCATGTATACGCACTCACTGTCACAGAAATCATTAAAAGTACTTACTTCTGATCAGCGTGCCGGGCTTCTGATGGGGACACTCAGCAGAAGGACAGGGGCTCCTGATGTCATCTGGGAAAAACAACATAAGTTTTGGTTGGTTAGCTAACGTTAGCTGTTGTTAAAAGTTGTGCTTTTTATTACGTTACGTTATTATATTATGGCACGTTGCGTTAAATTATTGTATTAAGGCACTGACATGACTGCACTTTAGTCTCAACTCAACAGTCAACACTCTAGTCTACACAAATAATAATTATCTCTGGTTAAAAACACAATCAGATCAGACACCGGTGTCACCGTCGCTCCACAGCAGAGGGTAAAGCGCCGAGAGCGGCGTCCAGCCAGAACCGAGCCCGTTAGACACGACCAATGATCACGGAGCAGAATTACAATTCTGTGATCGTAAAAATATACAAGAATATAAGTAGCGTTATATAAAAATAGTATTTAGACTGGGATCTACCTCAAGAGATGAAGTTATCCTGACTCCTGACCTCACATCGTCTTCATCACGTTAGCTGCTACTGTCGCTAACTTTCCTACTGCACTCGTCAAAACTGATAAAACACACACAGTCAATTAACTTTTAAACTATTACTTACAGTTAAATCCGCGGACAACAGGTGGGTGCTGCTTCTTTCCACTCAGGTCCCGATAACGGCTGATGAGTCAATGGCGCGTCCGCGCAACGAATCCGAACCGGTTTAGCCGCGGATTGATAGTACAAATTATTGTGTCAAAAACAAAGTGTTGTGTTAAAAATACGTTCACAGTGCGGATCTAAGATGATTTAACCGCAGATTCTCACTGTAACAGCAGGCCATCCAAGGGTTAGGGTTAGCAACAGTCAGAAAGTGAATACGGAACAAATACGCAGCGGATCCGCAAAGCGGACGGACTGTGGGGCGGATTTGGCGGACCGAAAGCGGATCCGATGCGGATCCTGATGCTAGTAGGGGAGAATCTACACTGTAACAAATTTCCTGTAAATTTTACAGTACCTGTACAATTTTGTTGCCAGGTGTTTATTGTATTATTTCAGTAAATTACTGTAAATTGTACTTACAGGTAAGAGCTGGGAACACTTTACAGGTTTTTGTTGGGGTATTTTTTACAGTTATGCATTGGTTTGAAGATTACAACTGACAATAAACAGGCCTGAATATATTCAAAAATTAATAGTCTGACATAGATTGCTTTGAAACACATCATGTGTGCACTGCTCCACTGCTCCTCCTGCCTGCTCCGGTGTCTCCGCGGCCCCGCCTCGCACACACCTCTTTCCCTCCATAACACACGTTCTACCAGGCTTGTACCAGGACCAGTGCCAGCATCAGAGTCGGCGTCAGAGCACATCTACTGGAAGGGCGTGGGTCACCAGCGGGGGGGCACTACCATTTGAGAAATATTTTAACGCGGAGGAGTCATACAAAGCAGAAATGCTATCAAACACGTTTTTCTTTAACAGTATTAGACTAATTATCTGTTGTTGTCATTATCATTATTATATTAAAATTATTATTATTAGCTGCAATAGTTGTTGAGGCTGTGTGATAGATGACACGCACACAAGACAATAATAAAGGTTATTTTTATTCAGGTTGAGGTTTATTAAAAAACAATAAGGCCTGCCACTGGTTGTAAACATTAAACAACAGCCTCGTCAAAAACACCCCTGAACAACATCACTGAAAGAAGCAACCGGGCAAGAAAGAGCCACACATCGGGCAGCACCAGGGCCGTAGTGGGCATGGTACACGGGGGTACACCATCCAGTACTGTCCAATAGAGACCTGAGATGTGAGGGACCAGGACTAAAACAGGACTAAAACAGGACCAGTGGCGGCTGGTGGTATAATTTTTGGGAGGGGCACCAAGGCCAAAATTATAAATATATATTATGAATATGTATTGTATGTAATGTATTATATATAGACTATAGTATTATAACAAATACCAGAAACAGACATTTTGGTTACTATTGGCTGAACAATATCAATCAGAGCACAATCAACAGCCAAGCACAAACTTTACGCAACAACACAACGTAACACGCTGCTCACACCCAGACCCAACAATGTCAGCAAAACTACAATAAGAGACATGAACACAGATGCCGCTCCTACAGCACATGACAGAACAACCAGAGCACCTCCACCGCACCCGCGAGCTCATTTACGCACTATTTAACTATTAACACTATAACACTATTTACCTGTGAGGCTCCATGTTCAGATTTGCCCCAAACTAATGAAAATCAGCCTCTTACCTTCTCCAGAGACTGAAGCAGAGTGTTTCCTCTGTCCGCTGTTCCATTGGTTCCGTCTCTAAAAGTCTATTGTCCAATATGAAGAGATGAAACTGGTCCGTGACGTGAGGTCCGGGAGCCGAGTGCACAAGATGGTTGTAAAATTAGTCTTAATCCCAATTCCCACTTAAATCTGAAAGTTACACCAGTCCATATCAGCACCAGGACACCAGGATAGAATTATAACTCTGCGCGCTATGCTCAGGTCAAACTTTTACACCCAGAAACGAGCGGGCAAAGGTGGGTAGAGCAGCGAGCGACTGCCCTGGCCCTGGCGGCGGCAGCGAGAGCCCCGGCCCGGTGGCGACTGTCCCAGCCCCGGCAGCAACTGTCCCGAGTCCCGGCAAAGAATGTCCCAGCCCCAGCAGCGGTAGCGACAGCCCCGGGTCCCAGCGGCGGGTCTGTCAGTGTGTCCGCTCTTTGACTGTCCTCGTCATTTCCTGTGTGGAGCTTAAAAGTTGTATGGAGGATTTTTTTTTGTTTGTTTCAAATTGTCATTGAAAGTTTAAAATGCCATTACAGAGATGCTTTGTAATTATGATGACCAAAAAAAAAAAAAAATGAAAATCTATCAACTGTGGACGTAGTGAGGCCAGATAAAAATCAGCCAATAGAAAACAAGGCTCCCTCATTTTCTATTGGCTGTTAGGTTGTCAATCAAACTCACTACGTTTCTAGTGTAACTGACTTGTTGGTATGCTGGGATTACGTGGTTTATGCAGCGGTTCTTAGAGGCTTTTTCAAACTGTAGCTTCCTTGCAAACAAAGTTTGTTAAGATTGTGGACGAGAATCCACGACCAGTTTGCCGCAAAAGTAAGTCAGATTTTGAGGTCGCTGAAAGGAGAAAAGAAGGGGAAAAGGAGCAAAGACAAACTGAGGTGATTCTTGGAGATTCAGTGATGGCTTACAAATATGAAGGGTCGAAAAACTGATCCGTCTGTCGCTAAATTATTTCTAGACAGGTCACTTCAACAGTAATTCTGAACGCGTACTGGATGTAAACAAGCGTGATTTCTAGAGTAAAGAGACGGGATGAGATATTTCTATATCTCCTCCCGCCTCTTCAGGTGGTGTCACTCATGCACAACATTTGAAAAAGGACTGTCGCTGTATTTCACTTCCCTTAAAAAAATCCTCTATACAGCCTTTTAGGCTAAAGTAGCTAGCTGCCGCTAATCGTGAAGCTGCTACGAGTTGACGCAGCAGGTTGACGTGACGTGACGTGAGTGACAGAACAGTTGTCCAATCACACTACACTAAATAAACAGAGACTGTGATGTCATTGATGTCACAGTAAAGTTTGTGCCCTCAGCCCGAAGTGAACTGCGCCAATCAAAATCATTTTAAAATAGTCATAATAATGGCCTGTGCTGGGGGGTGGGGCACCAGTGTCCGCTAGGGGGGGCACGGCCCTCAAATGCCCCACCTTGCTGCCGACACCGGCCAGCATTCACTGTTCACATGTAAAACAGCGGCTCAGCCCACGATCACCTCTGACAACCACTGGCTCTAGTACGAATATGTGCCACAAACTCCAGTTCTCCCGGAGTTTTTCGACACCTCAGCCGGTGTCTGTGTTGTTTCCAGCACACTGTTTTATCATTCCGCGCTCTCCTCGGTTCACCGCTGCCTCTCGTGAGCGCAACACCCGCTCTACCGGAGTGTTCAAGTGTCGCAGTGTGACCGCGGCGCAGTCCCGTCTGGACCCGGCTCCGTCCGGCTCAGCTCGGATCACCGACACCGCGGTGCCTCGCGCGCAGCAGCAGCTCGAAGATGAGCAGCACCGGGCTCGAGGGAGTCGGGCATTTCCCTCACGTGCTCATGTAAACGAGCCTATACCGGTTATTTTAATAGATTCATGGTCTAAATGCGCATGTGTGACCACAGATATCAGCATCAATAACATAACATCAGTTATGTTTAAAGGTTGTATAGAGGATTTTCCAAGGAACGAGAAATCCAGCGACTGTTTGTCCTTTTTCAAATGTTGCGCATGCGTGAAACCCCCCTCCCTCCCCTACAGCTCCCTACGTAGAAACGCCTCCAGAAACAGGTTTGTTTACAGCCGGTGAGCTGCACATGACTTGTAAACAACTAACTACAGTGTTGGTTAGGCAAGGCGGAGAAGTGAGGAGCGGGGGGAGGGGGTGTGCGGATATTTTGTGCGCGGACGAGAAGTGAGGAGCAGGGAGAGGAGAGAGGAGAGGGGAGAGGGAGGTGCGCGGAGATTCCGTGCCCGGAGAAGTGAGGAGCAGGGGGAAGAGCGGAACGGGCAGCGGGGACAGGAGCAGGAAAGGGGTGCAGAGAAGAGTGCGCGGAGATTCAGTGCGAATGAACTAGCTACAACACGCAGCAGAAAGCGGACTCTTTCTTTGCCTTGAAAATTATGTTTTCAGACATAGATATCGCATTCGTGTCCTGAAAAACATTTGTCTAGCTCTTGGAAATAAAGTACGTTTTCATAATAAGCAGAAGTGACCTGTCCAGGAGTAATTTGGCGACCAGTGCGTCAGTCTTTAGACCCTGCGTCTGCTTCAGTTGCGCCATCGCTGGAATGAATCTCCAAGAATCCCCTTAGTTTGGCTTCGCTGCTTTTCCCCTTGTCTTCTTCTTTCAGCGACCTCAAAAACGGACTTTCTTTTGCGGCTAACTGCTCCTGGATTCTTGTCTGCCATTGCAACAAACTTTGTGCGAACTGCGAGGAAGATATAGGTTAAAAAAAAAACGCTAAGAACTGTTGCGTTGGTGGAGTAAACAGCGTCTGTGCGGCTTGCGTCTGTGGACTGCGTGACAGGCGTACGTAAACCATGTAATGGCAGCGCGCAGGCAAGTCAGTTACGCTAGAAACGTAAGGAGTTTGATTGACAGCCTATCAACTAACAGATAACGAGGCAGTGTCGTTATCTATTGGCAAATGTTTAGCTGGCCCCACCACGTCCAGAGTTGATGAATTTTTATTCTCTTTTTTTTGGTCATCATAATTACAAGGCTACTGCATTTCTATAATGCTATCATTGACAATTTGAAACAAAAAAAATCCTCCATACAACCTTTAATAGGCTACGTTTATGCCTAAGTGCAATGACCTAAAAACAAACAAACAAAAACAGGTTACTTACTCTTGTGGAGTGAATGGACCAGTGCATTATCCCGATGAGCTCCTCATTGTCTCTGCTCTTCTTAACTGAGTGTGTGCGGTGTAGAAACATTTGAAAGTACAACATTTACATGTAATATCATCCCATCTACAGTAAAGAACAAACAAAATTTAATTTACAACAGGCTGTTGTAGAAAACGTTCTTACTAACTGTAGTAATTTTTTGTCCCACAATGCATTGCAATCTACAGTTGTGACATGTAATTTGTGAAAACAAGAAGCAGTTGTAAAAATTACTGTAGAAACTACAGCAATTTGTAGTGTAGTGTTAAGACAAGTACTGTGTGCATAAAGGATATAGTGTCATCTGTTTATAAATGTATATGACATTGTTCTCTGACTTGTGTGATATTGTTAACATAGATATTCAACAGGATGGAGCAAGAATAGATCCTGGGGCAAACCTTTAAGGAGAGGTAGAGATTTTGAAACTTCACTCTCACTGACTGTACGTACCCAGAGGCTCAAGTGTTTTCTAAAAACAGTAGCACAGAATCCTAGCAGCCCCCATCTGTAATTTATTCAGTCTCTCTCTACAGACTGGAGTTTTCCCACAGGACTGGAGTCTACTGTGGTCATCCCTTTATTTAAAACGACTTCCCACAGCTCCAGTTCACTGCCTCATCTTTAAATATTGATTCATTTTAGCACTCAGCAAAAACCTCTAGATCCCACTTGGACAGGAAGCAGTGATGCTGACGTTGTACAATATGTCAATAAATGATTTGCCAAATAAAAGTTTGAATATGTCAGATGTTACAACATCTGTCGCTGCAGATGCACTTTTCCTTTGAATCACTCAAGAAAGTGCAAATGTCACACGCAGAGTTCTCAAAAACAAAACAGAGTTGAGCCATAAAACCTTGTCACCAAATAAAACAGATGTTTTTTGGTCTTAACTCAATTTGGACAAAATATACATGTTATGGACTACGTCCTACTGTCCTGTTCATCCAGATCCACCCACCAGAGGATGAGCCGCCCCTGATCAGCCTGTGATCAGTTGGAGATAAAATCCTGGAGCCTCCAGACCAGCGCCCAGCGGCTCCTCCACTGCAATGACCTTAACTCACCTTGGTTTATTTTTTGTATTAACCACTGATTTTGACAGACAGGAGAGCCTCAGAGAGCTGTGGTATTTGTCATGCATGTGCTGTGTAAATGCACCTTGGCCAAAAGTGTTTGGAACCTTAGGTGACCTTGACCAGTTTATTTATTTATTTATTGTAATTATTATTACTTATTGTTGTATTAGTCAGTTATTTGAATTGTACAACAGTTTTTAAGTATATTTTTATATAATATTGTTTCTTTTTGGACACCTCCTCACTCCCGTTTTTGTTCTACGCTCAGTTTCTAACATCTTTTCAGTTACTGTGCCTCTCCCCTGCACCCTGTGGGACAAAACTGTAGTTACTGCCTTTTTCCTTTTGGAGGGCAGTATAGATTGCACATGTTTTAACGGGGAAAAAGTCAAAGTGACGAGTGTAATCTAATTACTCACTTTTCTATTGTAACTAGTTTCTAAAGCAGTTTGATTACAGTAATCCTTTATTTTGTAGTTACTGTCAGAAAGTCAGTTGTGAAGTACATTGTGTGGAACAGGTTCTAGTTTTGTGTGGTTTCTCACCAGCTTAAGCACCTTGCCTCTGAACTGTTACAGAAGTGAAATGTCGTCTTCATGTCTATTAAACTCCTGGAGGAAACATTTCTGTATAAAGCAACAATAGATTCTATTTCTGTAACAATAATTCACACTGGATTCTTTCAGTGTTTCAGTTTTGTATCCTAAAATCACGTGCAAATCATGACACACACACAACAGCTCTTTAAAGATGTATTTGTTTTATCTGTGATGAAAATGACTTCTATCCAAATGTGATTATTTTGTGTTTAAACTCCCAGGGTTTAAACACAAAATAATATAATAATAATAATAAGAGTGCAGGTAACAGGTGTCCACGTTCCCACTGACATGAGCAGTGTGAACAGTCCTGTTTGTCACATAAGACCTCAGTCCATCATTAAAAATCAACACAATCTTTACATTTTCAGAAAACAAAATGCCAGTTTATTCTAAAATGTTAAATTGACTTGTATCTCTTTGGTTTATTTCATTTTTGGGCAGTGTTTTGATTCTTATGCCTGTAAGTAGTGGAAGTTGTGAGCATGCTCAGTAGACACAGGTCCACCCACACTACTATAAAATGCAGTACTTTTAAAATATTCTGTTTCACTTTTACTCCACTGGGACACAATCATGAAGTTCATCCTTGCTCTGGTATTTTGGGTGGCTCTCTTCAGTCAGGGCTACAGAAGTAAGTCCGTTATTATTTTGATTTAATGCAAAAAGAATCATGTTTTTAATATCATAGTTTAAATAGAAATGCTCTGACTTTACATATTCCATTGAAAAGTCAGTTCATGGGCTTTCTTCTTTTTGTTCTCTTCTTCTTATATGATTTTTATGACTTTTTATATTTTAAAAAATCTAATATTTCTCTTTTAAATTGTTGATCGTCACGGCAATGGTCATAATTTTTCATAATTCTCAAATCTATATAGAAAACAGTGGTTTTAATTGCTGCTTTAAGATGACATTCACAACATTATAGGATAATATTCTAAACTGGAGAATGGAGATTTGATTTTTAAATATAATTTCATGTAATAAAAAAAAAACCCAAAACATTACAATGGATTATTTGGCCATTTCTTGTGTAGTTACTTCTGTTATGATGTAGTGCAGGGTGGGCAAACTATGGCCCGAGGGCTGTATGCGGCCCTTTAAACCTTTTAATCCGACCCGTTGAACTTGAATAAATTATAATAATAACCTTGTTAATGTTTTATTTTTCCTGCATTTCCGGCGTTTTCCAGTAGATGACCCACTATATATACATTGAGGTGCGGCGTATTATATTGGCCGCACTGCTTTATGGGAAAGTGTTCTTTCGGACTAGCTAAGTGTCTTCGGACCATGAGTGAGGCAGAAGTGTTCAAGACATAAGGCTCCACTGTATCTGGTTTAAATATATTAAAACCAAAGTTGAAAAGCTTATAGATGACCTATTACGAAGTCTTAACATACAGAGTATTGTAATACGTGATGGACGTGATGGACCGTGTTTTTGAGTAGGGGTGTGGACGGGCTTATTAACATTCCATTGGGTCCAGGCTCGATCAGGGTGTGTTGTAGTTGTGTATTTTGGTTACTGGAAATTCCAGTTTAGGGAGGTAGGTTAAAAAAGTATGGCGACGGCTACAACTAGATGGCGCCCAGAAAATATTTCGGAAGTATTTGTCTTTTGGACGAATTCGCACTCATCTTTACATTCTTGTAACCGGTATAGTGTGTATACATGCACCATGACTCAAAAAACCCGATCGTACCCGAGATACTGATGTGCATGTACACGCACTCATTATAAACAATGCGCACCAGATCAAATATAACACGTTGCTCGCAGACATTGGTCTTGCATTGGTCGCTGTTGAGTTTTAGCACTGCGGACGCACATTGAATAGAAGTAGATCTGCATCTTCTACCATTTTTGAAATAAAGACAGTCAGGAGGAGAGTGATGATGATAATAACCTGAGGGAGAACAGAACTTTCAGTGCTTTAAAATAGAAACTGTTAGTAATAATAATAATAAATATATGAGGAGAAAATTCAGTTTGTCGACTGGACAAAAGTTAGTTGGGTTGAAGACGTTTTGCAGCTCATCCAAGCTGCTTCTTCAGTTCTGGTGAGACGCTGGTGGACACTTCCTTATATCTGCAGGGAGGAGATAACTAACTACTCTGAAACTAACACACCTACTTGTTTACAGTTTCTGTTAGTTAGTTCGGCCTATTAACCTGTGCAGGGTGTGGGGTCTAATTAGCTAATAGGAGTGCTAATTAGACCCCACACCCTGTACACGTCAATAGGCCGAACTAACTAACAGAAACTGTAAACAAGTGTGTGTGTTAGTTTCAGTGTAGTTAGCTCCTCCTGCAGACAGATATAAGGAAGTGTCCACCAGCATCTGACCAGAACTGAAGTGTTTGAGTGTTTGATAAGAGAAGAGCGCTTTGCGCTCTGTTTTCGCAGGCGCACTTGACATTGTGCACCTACGTTTTGGGGTGAACAATAATAATTAGGCCACTGTCGCGGCCATGGGCAATGCCACTGTGCCATGTCAGTGGGCACCAGTCACTGACATGTGAATGTCAGTGTGTGTTTGGAAAGGGGAGAGTGCTTCGAACTACTGAACAATAACAATAGGCTCTACGCCACCCATGGCGCTCGGGCCTAATAATAATAATGTTAATAATAATAATAATAATAAAAAGTGTTTTTTGTTTTTTTTATTAAATTTTCATTGTTTTAGGAAGTCAGATATTTAGTTATAATGCTTTGTAATGACTTTCAATTGAAATTCAAGCACAGGTTTTCTACATACCCATGATATTTTTTTCTCTCCACTCCATCCATCTGCTCCTGGTCCGGCCCTTCTGTCAAATTTTAGAACCTTTGTGGCCCCTAAGCCAAAAAGTTTGCCTACCCCAATGTAGTGTGATTCAAATTAATTGAAAACGTCAGTTAGGCTGCGTTCAGACTGCAGCATGAAATGACTCAAATACGATTTTTTGGCTTCTATGTGACCTGTATTTGATCTTGTAATGACACATCCGATTTTTTCAAATGCGACTCAGGCCACTTGGATATGTGGTCCTGAAACCGATACATATCCGATCTTTTGACATGTGACTTCAGTGTGAACGGCCAAAGCGCATTATTTCGACCTACACGTTATCAACAAGCCACAAACGTCACTATTCTGCGCTGAAGTAGGCGAAAATTGTTAATGAACTCCGTGTCACTGAAGCTAAGCACATCACCACTCACCACTCTTGGCTCTGTCTCCGCATCCACACGTTCCTTTCAACGGACGTCGCTGCCGCTGTCCTACAAAACGCCTCAGCCAAAAAACCTCGTCCTTCTCCTTCTCAATCTCCTCCTTAAAACAACTAAGTTGTTCATGTTCTGGCTCTGGTACGAGAGGAACTTTAAAATCTCCAGGTGCTCAATGCTCGCGTCCATGTTTGAACAACTTCCGTAAACACAGAGCACGCTCGCTGCGGTTAACATCATCATGTCCTCCAGTGCGCATGCGGGACACTTTGGGCCATTTACTGTTCACACAGGGGATCGAATACAAGTCGTATTTAATTGGAAATGTGAACGACCTCGCAAAAACATCGGATTTCACAAAAAAATCGGAATTGAGCGTTAAGCCCTGCAGTCTGAACGTAGCCTTAGACACTCCTTATTCTAATAATTTCTCTATCCAGGGCAAGACCGAGGCATGACCTGACCTGTAAAGCAAAACATGCTTTTTTCACACATGCTTAAAATGTATTTATACCCACTTGCTGTTATTGTAATCTTCACTTGATTTGTTATAAATGTTTTTCTTCCGATTGTGACGTAACATGTGAGAAAACCTGGTGACAGAAGTTCAGTTGGTAAGAGCGTTTGTTCACTAATCAGACATTCGAGCTTCCCACAGATGAATGATTTTGTTGTGTCCTTGGGCAAGACACCCACCTTGCCCCGAGTCTCTGTGTACACTGGTGTTTACATGATCATTATGATTTTTTTTTTTTTCCCCACTATTTATACTCAATAGGTAACTTGTTGAAGCTGTTAAAAATATATTCAAGAACTAACCTAATAACTAATGTTAAATGTGTACACAGTAATGACCAGTTTATTAATAATAGTTAATAGGACGCATATAAAACTATGGACATGTGATTAACAATAACATCACACTAATAATTACAAAAAAATAAAAATTAAAATCACTTCACTTTAGTTTATTTCAGGGTTCTCACTCTTTTCCATGACCTTTTCATGAGCTAAAGTGAATTTTCCATGACTTTACAGCACCTACATGTGTAGAATTTATTAAACTTTTAGGACTAAATATGAAATGTTAACTTTTTCCACTCATCTTATGGTTTAGGATTATAGTTTTTAACATTCAGAATACTGTCAGTGCATTTATTGTCGTCTCTTTAAACAAAAGGCACAGATGTTCAGAAATAATCAGAATAATCTCATGAGAACAGAACGCTGTGCTGTGTGAAAGAGATACTAAAATTCCATGACTTTTCCAACATTTTCATTGAATTTACAAAATTTCATGACTTTTCCAAAATTACATTTTCAATTTCCATGACTTTCTAGGATTTCCATGACCATGGGAACCCTGTTATTTGTACAGACAGAGAAGGCATTGGACTTTGTGCCAGTGTTTGTTTCATGTGGATAAGTCCTGTATGACAGAGATATGAGCCATAAACCAGATCAACAAATCTGCATCTACAGTTACACAGCAAACTCCACCTGACGAGCCCGTCTCTGTCCTCTGGACTCAGAAGGCTGGGATATGAGACAGAGAGAGTGACTTTATTTATTTTATACATTTAACCAGAAAGTGCCGCTGACAGAGAGTGTTGGGCAGAGGAGAGAGGCCTTTCGTGCAGATCGCCAGCTGTTGATGTCACAGATTCCAAGGACTCCTGCATGGGGCGCTGTGACGACGACATGAACAGTGACTTCACCTGTCAGTGTAACACGGCATGTAAGAGGTTTGGAGACTGCTGCTTCGACTACAATGAAGTCTGCAAATGTAAGACTCTCGTTCAGTGTTCATGTTTGAATGTGTAAAACTGGGCTCACATCAGCACATTATACAGACCCAGCACTGATAGACAGGCAGTTTTTTCCAATTTCTATTTGATCTATTAACTTTTTGTTTAAGTCAATTTTGTTAAGTCCTGTGGATTTTGGGCTAGACCAGACCTGGCTATTGTGCAGCTCCAGGGCCACATGGCTGTTTGTTTGACTCTGACAGGCCTGTTTAGGCTCATTTGGAATTTTAAAATAAACATATGTTATCATTTTCCCTCATGCCTGGACTAAAGCTGCCTTGCTTTTATTTTAGAGGTGACATTTTTTTGTAAGACAACCTCACTTTTTCATTGTTTAGTCATGACATAAGCTCTTCTCAGTGTGACCAGCTTGTCAGAAAAATTATATTTACTGTTTTTTAATTAAAAAAAAATTAAAAAAAATACAAAATACAGTTCATATGATGCAGAATTCAGTTAAGCATTTTGGCCTCCACAATATTTTGTTTCTCATGTGGTCCCATGGAAAAAAATATTTGCCCACCCCTGACCTCGACAAAGATTTGTTGAACTGAATTGAAAATGAAACGATCTATAAGAAACAGGGGGCGGGGCCTGGTCAACACTTGTGCTGCTGTTGTGTGTTCACACACATTGCCGTGTATGAAAGTGTGTGTGCGTGTGTGTGTGTGTGTGTGTGTGAGGATTGGTTGTAATTGCAGATGGTGATACGTCCCCTCTGTCAGTCTGCCCCAGGGCAGCTATGGCTACAGTAGTCACTTTACATTACCGAGTGTCGAAGGGAGGAAAAAATGCAATGTGAACCACTTTGAATGTCCTGAAAGCTTGAATGTTGTTTTTGAAGATTCTATTCAAATTCTATTCTTGTAGTACTGGTTGTAGTACCAGCAGTGATCATTTTAGAGCAGCATTTAACAGCAGCACAGTACAGTGACAGTTAGTAGTAGTGTAGTGTTAGTAGTAAGTGTTAAGTGTAAATCATTATAAATATTTGACAGCCACAGAGCTGTATGTGACTGTGTGGACCTGACATGAGTGTGTTTCTCTGCAGCCTCGTTCTCCTGTAAGAGTCGCTGTGGTGAAGCCTACAACTCTCAGAATGAATGTCACTGTAACTCCAAGTGCAGCCAGTACGACAACTGCTGCTCCGACTACAACGATGTGTGTAAGTCACTAAACACACACACACACACACACACACACATACACACAACTGCTGCTCCGACTACAACGATGTGTGTAACTCACTATTATTATTATTATTACTATTCCAATATTAGAAAGTCGTACTTGTACAAGGAGTCTGTGCTGACATTCCCATGCACAGACTCAATGTTTTACACCTATACAATGACTTTTATACACAAACTATCGTGCGAGGCTTCCATAGCTTAGACTTAGCGCCTCTTCGTTAGTGCCAGGCCTCTTGGCACATTGCACAGTCCAGTCAGACTCTAACCGGGGTGTTATCTGACTAACAAGTCATGACATCATCCCTATCAGTAGTTCTTGTCCTATTTAGTTAGTTTGGTATTAGATAGATTGGAATATCCTACATTCGTCTTGACATAAATCTACGAGTGTCACAGCTGTGATCAGAGCTCATGACCTCGATACAATCATGAACTACAGAGGTGATTATACAAAACAGCTAAACCTAGTTATTTATCTTAACATTGTCAATATAAAGCTTTAACTTTACACTTTTACACACACAAAATATTACTTAACTAGGAATAAAAGTATGCAGCTAGAAAAGTACAACTCACGCCTGCACACACAAAGCATAGTACTGTACTATACCATCATTTCAAACTTGATTTCAGTACTAAGAAATAGATTCAGTACTTTGATACTGATTCCAATACCACAATGATATTAAAACACACTCTTTCTTTATTCTGTGTAAAACCAATAGACACAGGTGCACCGAGAAATATACAGGATTTCACAATGAGGAGAAATTAAGACCGTTGCCATAGCAATTAACAGTTTAAAACAAAATGTCATATTTTCCAAATGGGAAAAATTCCTCAAAGCAGCACAAGAGGAAACTGAAGCCCCTCAAGAGTCCACAGTCAGTCTAAGGAAAATGTAGAAATTAATAATAGAAAAAAAAAAAAAAACACTCTGTTCCACCTTGTGATGTCATGTGGTATTACAAGAAGTGCTCCACTGTGTTTTTAAACTCCATACACCTTCATTAGAATCATCTGGATCATTTCAGCCCTGGAATTGTCTATGAACTAAAGGTAAAAGGAGCTGAACTTGAAAACTACCACTACATGACATCACAATGTGGAACAGAGTATTTTGAGCTTTGAGGTGGAACAATAGTTTAATATGTGTTTCTCATACAGGTGGTGTAATAGTTTAAAGTGTGTGTCTCTCACAGGTGGTTTAATAGTTTAAAGTGTGTGTCTCTCACAGGTGGTTTAATAGTTTAAAGTGTGTGTCTCTCACAGGTGGTTTAATAGTTTAAAGTGTGTGTCTCTCACAGGTGGAGCATCGGGCAGTTCTGTCACTGACGCTGAAATTAAGTCTGTGTCTGAGGCTCTTTATGCTCTGGACTCAAACAAAGCGTCAGGATCTCAGCTCATCATCGACCCTCAAACCTTGATCTCCAACTCCGAGACGGGCGCTCAGACCGACCACGCCTTCCAAACCGTGAGACACAAACACACTGTGGTTTAAAGGAGCTGTGCCCTGTACTCGTACTGTTTTAAAAGGTGTTACAATCACAACTGAGACTGTGTCTCCAGATCCTTCACCTGCAGACAGAGACACATCCAAGTGTGTCTCATTCTCAGTGTAAGGACAGACTCAGAACCTCCAGAATTCCCTCCCTGAGCTGCAGAGGCTGCACTAGCACTGACTCAGGAGTGGTGTAAGTGCAGGAGTTTAGGGAATGACCATTCAGATCAGAGAGAAGTATTTTAGGTTTAAACACACTGGATTTCGGCTTTGAAACTGAGAGAGTCATGTCATTCTATTTTCTGATTGGATAATCGCCTTGAACCAAAACACCAAATTATAACATAAACACCTTGTCCATCCAGTGTTTTTGTAATGAAGGATAAATCAGTGTTACACATGTTCTAAGTCAAAATTGTATATAAAGTGAACATGTTTTCCTTGTATCTTGGGGCACAGTTAACACAGACACAGATCTGTTTATTGAATTTAAAATCTAAATCCTGCACAATTTCTACAACATGGGGCTGGAGGACAGGAGGTCAGAATAACATTTTAAGTGTGTCCTGTTTGAAGAAAAACATTGTAATCTGTCTTTATTTATTGTCCTTTTTTGGATAATACTGGATTGGCCTTTTTTTCAAACAGTCATTCATTGCCCATTTGAATCTAAATGTATAATTTGTGATGTCATGTTTGACCCACATTGTTATCTGCTTTACTTGGATTTTTGACATTTATTCAGAGCAATATTTTTTTGTAAATCCTCAGTCAATGACACAATGACCCTAAATGAGTCAAATAATGTTTAAAGTTTCATAAATGTGTTTCTCTTCTAGTCTGTTCCGTTACGTGGACGAGGGCGCTCTCTTCTCCAGACCCACATACGCCGCCCTGCTGGCCTTACTGGATAACTACAGGAGGATGACTGGGCAGACGGAGAGCTTCACCCAGCAGCAGCTTCAGGAGCAGGATCACTTTGTGAGAGAGACCATGTCCAACACCGCAGTGGGCAGGGAGCTCTTCAGTTTCCTCCATAGTAAAGGTAACAAATTTTAAGTGCATGGGACAGCTTTTCATTGTATTCTAATTCAGACTTGGTTTGTGGTCAGTATTTATCATAGTTTTAAGTGTCAGTTTGTGGAAAAAAGTTGGGAATTTCACTGCAATAGCAGTAAATCAGAATCCCTCTGCTGAACTCATCAACCCTGAAAACTTCATACAGAATGTACTGACAGTTTAGACAGACAAATTATAGTAAAGCATTGACTAGTCGTATGGTGTGTGGAACAAACGACTTCCAGAGTGTGAGCAGGACGGGAACAACAGCCTGTCCCCAAAGGTGCTCTCCTGTCCGGTGATGGTGCTGTTTGTTCTCTAAGATGGACTGGAGCTTGTTTAGGCCCCTCTTCCCCTTCGTCAGCAGCTTATCCAAATGCACAGCATCCTTCTCCCTCAGGCTTCCTCTCCAGCAGACCACAGCACTGAAGAGGACACTGCAGATGAGTGTCTAGTAGAAGATCAGGAGCTTCTGGCAGATGTTAAAGGACTTCAGCCTTCTGAGAAAGTACAGCCTGCTCTGTCTCTTTCTGTAAAACAGCTATGTGTTTTCACAGTCCAGTCTGTGATGGAGATATGCACAAATAGGGCATTTTTATGACAGTTTAGACCCCTCCCCCTTTGTGTTTTTCAGGCATCTACTCTTCAGAGGAGGAGTTCATTGAGGACCTGAAGAACATGTGGTTTGGACTTTACTCTCGCAGCAGCGGAGCCAAGGACTCCTGTGGCTTCGAGCACATCTTTGCAGGTTTGGACACAACACTCAAACATACACACATATACACATAAATGCACACATACACACATATACATATACATACCACTGTGGCAATTTAAAGGGACAGTTTGGAATTTTGGACATATGGCCTCATTTCCTAGTGATCCAGAGTGTTGGAGACGTGTGGAGACACTTTTGATAGAATAATGTTTGAAATAAAACCAACCTTGTATCACATGAATCATCACATGTTGAGGGGCTATTTTCTCAGCAGCAGCGGAATTTTACTTTGAAAAAGTAAGATAGGTGCTCGGTGATATCACCTCTCCAAACTTTCTATCAGGAAGTACAACTCACTGCTGCTGCTCAGACAGAAATCCTTCAAATGCAAGGTTAGTTTTACTTCTAAAATTATTCTATCAGCACAGACATTCACATGGACAGTCTGGTGTAATAATAGATTTGTTTCGGGTGTTTTGTGGAGTGGATAAGACTGTTTTTAGTGGCAGAATAACTATGACCATTGACATGCCCTAGTCTAACACCTGTGACCTCTGCAAATACAAGGACTGGATGGAATATTTCAAAAAGTGCCTCCACGTGTCTCCAACACTCTGGCTCACTAGGAAATGAGGTCCTATGTCCAAAATTCTGGACTGTCCCTTTAAATTTTTGTGATGGTTAATTTTTGAAATCAAGACACTTCACCCACATAACCTTGAGCTGTATGAATGTATGAGTGTGTGTGACTGTTGGTGTTGGTTGGAGTCAGGATACTGCAGCTTTGTAACCGTCAGTCTACCTCAGTGTAGAATAGACACACAACTTTCAATCAACAAGTGTTATCAGTCAAGGGCACAGAAATCTGGAACAACATCCCAGCTACAATAAGAGACTCTAGCACATTCAGTTCAATTAAAACTAATCTGAAACGATGTCTTAAGAGAAACCAGATCTGTAACCACTAGTGTTATGCTCCTGTGTAAATGTCAGTGTTGTATGTCATGCTTGTGTGTTTGTCTATTGTGACGCGTTTTATGTTCTTATGTCTTATGTCTCTATCTCTCTGACCTGCCAGGGACTACAGATGAAAAGTAGCCTTTGTGCTAATTCTGGCGTATTTACAATTGTATGTTCATGAATATGCATTGTCCCTTTTAATAAAAAAAAAACAAAAAAAAAACAAACAAAAAAAAAACATAATAACATTGTACTGAATGAAAAATGCTGTGAAGCTCTTTGGATTTCCGCACTGTGGAAATGCTTTGTATTAGTGTGATTTTTTTGTACAAGTTCTTACAGTGATGCGTGTGTGTGTTTCAGGTGAAGTGAAAAAAGGAAAAGTGTCTGGTTTTCATAACTGGATCCAGTTTTACCTCCTGGAGAAAGAAGGACAGCTCAACTATTACAGCCACAGCTTCGACGGGCCGGTCAGTGCTACATGTTACATTTTATATGTATGGTTACATGTCTCCACAGATCTGACGTGTACACAGGACAGGGAGCTGATTTATCTGAGCTCGTAGTGTTTGTCTTTAATATAGTTTGTCGTCTACATAGAAACAGTTTAAAGGGTAAGTTTAAAGGGTTCTGTATTGCACTATTTTCTTTCTTTTAATTAATTAATTAATTTATTTATTATCGACAAACCCAAGGAGGTCACCCCACACACCCACTCATACAGATCCATAATAATAATAATAATAATAATAATAATAAAGAAAAACAAAACAAACAAAAAACATAAAAGAACATAAAAAACATAAATTTAAAAAAAATGTAAAAAGTATAAGCAACTCAAACAAAAGGGCTCAAACCATCTTAAAATACAAAACACAAAAAGTAAACAGTAACAGTAATGATGATTTTTATTATTATATCTCTAACACCAGTGAGCAAATATTCCATTTCCTTTTATGCTCCAATAATTTGTTATTTTCCATAGTTTTTCTAGCTTGTACTGATTGTGGATTCTGTTTTTAAAGTATTCTAGACATAAATTTGATATTGTTGAAGCCTTAAGCATAAAAGTCTTTCCTAGCAAAATAATTGTATTCAGAAAAGGTGTGAACTTCCCCTGAAAAATGCACATTTCAGAAGAACTGCTCATTGACAGGAGGGACAGAAATAAAACAGGTGATACACCTCTTCCTTTTTTTGTTTTAATATTGAAACGGTGTTTTGTTTGTTTATTTGTTTTTAAATACAGAATTTTTAACACTTTGAATATGTTCACTTAAAATTTCAGCAACTGAAAATCAAAATAATTCAAACATGTCTTTTTAGAGTTAAAAAATTCAAAGTGAGAAATTCAATGGCATTTAAAATTCAAAATCTGATGGAAAAAATTACAGATCCCATTTCCTAACCACCATACTGAACAGTACAGGCCAAAACTCCTTTAATCTGCACAGAGGCTATGATCTGACAAATAAAAATATAAGAGAACTCTTTTATTTTGTCGAACAAAATTTTAAATTATCAGAAAAAAATGTTTCTTTTGTGTACATTGTGCCAAGTGTTTGAACAGAATTCTCTCAGTGTAATGTCATAATATGGAACTAATATGGAATAGAACTCTCTACTTTGTGGGTTTTTCGGAAGGTTCAGTGTGTGTCCTAGAAAGAAGCACAAAAGATGGAAGGGTCCGAGAAAGCAGGCCACTTTATTTCTGCATTTTCCATTGAGAGGGATTCAGTTTGATTACCAAGTACAGCTGTCACCCCAGAACGATGCCTCTGCCCACCTCACAATGAGGGGTAGCATAATTTAGCATATACAGCAAGAAAATGAACAATAAGGCTGACCCAGTACACTTTATCATGGGTGGGTACATGCCACGGGGTTCACTTACATCAGTTTTCTGCTTCGTGGCATCTCCAAGTACAGAAAAACATGTCTTTTATAGAACTACAGATAGTTAAATGTGTTTTTCACCCTGTTGTCACTCCAAGGTACAAGATATTGGGTGAATAAGCATGATCAACACATAATCAGCATGATCGACACATTATATTTCCCACAACTTCCTATCATTTGTAACATATATATTTTTTCAGTTTTTCTTCACATACTGCTTCTTGATTTGTGTAAAATTGAAGTTTATATTTAAAATCGCAGGTATTATCTCACCAATTTAAGTCAAAATGAGAGAATCATAAAATCATACTCACTTTAAGTCCTGGTTTCTTCTAATTTCGACACATATCCCGTCTCTCTCTGCTCACAGTGGCTTTCGTACCCGGACGTGCTGGGCATGCAGTTTAACTGGGACGGCTACTATAAACAGGTGGGCTCTGCTATCATCGGCTGCAGTCCTGAGTTTGACTTCGCAATCTACAGTCTCTGCTACATCACACGTCCTGGGAAAATGTGAGTGCACCATACACACTTATCTAGATTTACCACATTTGTCAGACTATAAGTCGCTCTGGAGTAGTACCAATCGCACCAGCCAAAAAATGTGTAATGAAGAAGAAAAAAACATATATAGGTTGCACCGGACTACAAGTCTCAATTTTTTGGGAAAAATTATTTTATAAAATCAGAGACAAGTTATAGTAACAACAATAGAATAAAGAACGACAGGCTGATTAGGCGTCTGGTGTGTTAACATAACATATAAACAGTTCTTCAGATAACTAGAACATAAACAACACAACATAAGTTTACCAAACTCTCCATCTCATTCCAAATCACTAAAATCATTAAATCCACTTAATTCTTCATCCTCAGTGTCACTTCTGAGCAACTCAGCTCAACTTCAGTTATCATTGAAGTCCAGACTTTGTCCATCCATCCAGTGACTTTAGGAAAGTTTCATGGTGCATCCTCCCGGTTGCCATGAAGCTGTGTTCTCCATCCCCACTTTTCCCAAGTTTCTCTAATTTGTGTGTGATTTATCAAAGGCACGGGTGGGTAACGGTGGAATGTTAAGGGGTCTGGGCGGGTGCGGGTTTAACTTTGATAAAATCACGGGTTTAACGGGTGGGTGTGGTTCTGTACTGGGCGGGTGTGGGTCTCCAAAAATGGACCTGTGCAGGACTCTGCCACAGAGGTCTTACTGAGCATGTGTGAACTGAAGTAACATACAGTACATGGTAGGAGCCTCAGTTTTCGCAAAATCTCCAAGTCCATTCCATAAATGTACTCCACTTATAGCCAGTGTTGTGCAAGTTCACACTTTTCGTAAACTAGTTCAAAGTTCAGTTCACACTTGTTCAAAGTGAACTGTTCATGTTCATAGTTCACAATTTTAATTTAGAACTAGTTCAAAGTTCAGTTCATTTTATTTTTAGGTGAGATATGTAAATGAAAGGCTGAACTTATTTTTCAAACTGACTTCCAGTTTACAACAACTTTACAAGATATCAACCATAAACACTCTAGAGTCACATCAGCCCGTTTGACATTATCATGTGTTTAATGTGTAGCTATGACACATTTGTTTATGTTTTACAGAAACAAAACTTAAAACCACATGGATAATTTGCATAAATTGTAAACGCTGGAAAAAAGCAACTTTTTCCTTGTGCACTGATGCATCAGCTTCTGTCGGACTAAAGACACGACTACATGTGTTCTTTCTGTGACAGGAATGTCACTGCAACCTTTGGACTCGTAATTTGAAGAATGCATGGAAAGTGAATGAGGGCAGTTCCTCTGCACACGCTAGATGTGCTTGGAACAGCGCGTCCTGCGCGCATAGATTTCGGAAAACAGGATCCATCCTATTTTTTTGATGCTCTACGCAAGCGTAGGCGCGTATCCCCATCAAAATACAGGGAGCATAGATCTATTGTTGTATTTGTGCATTTACCATCAGCACATCGTGCTCCCTGGGCAGTTCTGTATCGTGTGAAAGAGCCCAGCTCCACAAAGACTGTTAATTAGTGCTTTGAAATTTACTTTTGAAATCCTTGTCTTTGCTGTGGTCAACCTGTACAGAAGGTAAATACAAGCGGCTAAATGCTCCCAGTTTGATCGGCTTTTCCACTAAGAACCACGAGAGCCTGTACGTTCCGCTAGAGCTGCCGGTGGAGCTGTGTTGATGCGCGGCTGTGGTTCCGACGTTTAATTGAACCCCAACTGTGACGTACGTCGTTCATCTCACATAATTTGAACAAATTCACGTTCAAGTTCTTGATTATTGATTTGTTGCGTTCAGTTCAAAGTTCACTGAAAAATGAATGTATTCATTGAACGCTGCTTATAGCCATAATCATTTGTCCAACTTTACTTTTAAAAATTTTGAACTGATCTCTTAGTCCAGAACCTCCTTTTCTCTCTTTGAATATATTTAAAGTGTTGCTTGATACATTTTTAAGATGAGGAATCCAAAAAGAATATAGTAAATTTTATAAAAAATGTTTCGATGTCTTGTTTAGTGACTCATTCCTTGTGTTCCTGTGTCGTGCAGATGTTATCTGAGTCTGGGAGGAAAGGAGGTCCAGATCCAGACGTACGCATGGGACAACTCCTCCTACGGAAACGGAAAGAAGTACATCGCTTCTGCGTACCCGGCCTAGCCATGAGCAGCCACTCACGTACAGCCAATCACGAGCAGCCAATCACGTGCAGCCACTCACGAGCGGCCAATCATGTGCAGCCATACTCGGCATGGAGGGAATACACACAACAATAAACATGATCTAACGCAGACTGCTTCTTTGTTGTTTTTTTTTTTTTTTTTTTTTTTTTTTCATTTCAGGATATTTAAAGGTGCACTGCGGCTCATTTCAGGTTTAGTGTTCAGATTTAGTCCTGGTTTACTCCTTGTTTAGTCATTGTTTAGTTCTGGTTTAGTCCTGTTTTAAGACCTGGTTTAGTCCTTGTTTAGTCGTGGTTTAGGCCTGGTTTAAGATCTGGTTTAGTCCTTGTTTATTCCTTGTTTAGTCCTGGTTTAGTCTTGGTTTAGGTCTGGTTTAGTCCATGTTTAATACTGTTTTAATCCTAGTTTAGTCCTTGTTTAATCCTGGTTTATTCCTGTTTTAAGACCCAGTTTAGTCCTTGTTTAGTCTTGGTTTAGTCTTGGGGTTTAGTTCTGGTTTAGTCCTAGTTAAGTCATTGTTTCGTGCTGGTTTAATCCTGGTTTAGTCCTTGTTTGCTCCTAGTTTAGTCCTGGTTTAGTCTTGGTGTTTAGTCCTGGTTTAGTTCTGGTTTAGTTCTAGTTTAGTCCTGGTTTAGTCTTCGAATTTAGTCCTGGTTTAGTCCTTGTTTAGTCATTGTTTAGTTCTGGTTTAGGCCTGGTTTAGGCCTGGTTTAATCCTTGTTTATTCCTGGTTAAGTCTTGGGGTTTAGTCTTGGTTTAGGTCTGGTTTAGTCCATGTTTAATACTGTTTTAATCCTAGTTTAGTTCTGGTTTAGTCCTGTTTTAAGACCTGCTTTAGTCCTTGATTGCATATAATTTAGTCCTTGTTTAGTCTTGGGGTTTAGTCCTGGTTAAGTCCTAGTTTAGTCGTGGTTTAGTTTTGGTTTAGTTCTGCTTGATTTTCCCAAAACCCAACTCAAATGGATAGTGTGAAGTCTTGAGTGTGACACATTCCCAGACCGAGCATGAGGAGGACAGGAGGGCACCATCTCCACTTTAAAGAGTCTGGACTTTCTGGCTCCTCTCCACGTGGAGGAGCAGCGGCTCTACTCCGAGCTCCTCCCGTGTGACTGAGCTCCTCACCCTATCTCTAAGGGAGTGCCCAGACACCCTGCAGAGGAAACTCATTTTGGCCACTTGTATTTGCGATCTCGTCCTTTTGGTCATTACCCAGAGCTCATGATTATAGGTGAGGGCAGGAACGAAGATTGACAGTAAATCAAGAGCTTTGCCTTTTGACTCAGCTCCCTCTTCACCACAACGGTCCGACACAGCGACCACATCACTGCCAACGCTGCACTATCACATTAAAAATGTAATCATTGCTAAAGATACATATGAACTGCACAAATCTCTCAATCTTTGCTAATATCTATATTGTGAAATCAATTTTGGATTTTAATTCTAGAATCAGTCTGACTGAACAAGTTACTTATGTTTTATTCATTAATATAGCGTTAGTTTTGCTCAGAAGTAGTTCACTAATGCGTCGTCATTTCTTTCTTCTCTTGATAGTTTTGGATAAATTGTTCATGAAGAATGTGTATCCTTTGTGGAGCTTGTTGGTTGCAGATTTGGTGATGGGGCAGATTTATGAAGCTGCTGGAAAATACGAGTGACATTTCCAGACATTTTGCCACAGAAAACCATTAACCACAAGTTCCTTCTTGCATTTATTTAAATCGTATTTTTATTGCTCAAACATCCACTGAAAATCACCTCCTCATAGATCTGACCTATAGCTTATCTTGGGGTTGGGGGTTTCCTTTTGTTTTTTAGAAGAGGTAGAGAAATGAATCCCATACTGTGGAATATTGCAGGTAAAACATCTCAACAAGCAGATGGTGGACCTTCTATCAACAAGCAGTTAGCATTTTATTCATAAACAGTAGGGGTGGGATGAGACACAATTTTCATGAGACATGACACCGTAAGATCAAGTCTATGAGAACGAGACAAGACGAGATTTTGACATAATTTGGAATGAATAATAAAAAAAATGTTGTCTTGTGAGTTCTTGTGGCACGAGATCTTGTTCCATCTTTAATAAACAGTGATTCCCACATCTGAAATTACTACTTTAACTCAAATATCTCATGAAATTACAACTTACTACCAAACATTTACCATTTTGGTCCTAACCCACCAGTTGAGATCACATGCTCTGATGAAACTCTTATCTGAATCATTTCTGGCAGCATTTAAGAAGTAGAATACTTCTGTGTGGAAGGAGTTCGTGGAGGAATGTAGTTTGACAGATCTGGTATCTAACATGTATTTATTCATCTACCAAATGTTTTATACTCTTGTTTATCTATTGGACAGTGTTTAGGACTAGTATTTTTGGTGCATTTTATGTCGGGGGACTTGTTCACTAAAGAAAAAGAAAGCTAAGCTTGCACCTTAAACCTGCTGACAATGAAGGTTACCATGCCAACAGTATCCTCATGTTTATATTTTAATGTCCATTTTATATGATTTTTTACATGGTATCTTGTTACATTTGTAGTATTACTTGTGAGTGAATGAGTGAGCATGCCATCGATATCTGTAAACTGTATTCCATTCAATTTGATTTGAATTACAGTGTCAATATTACAGCAGTCAGACATAACATTATGACCAGTTCATTACACACACACTCTTAATGTGTGGAATAAATATCAAATATTGCACTTATTCGGTTAATCCTAACGTAGTCCTTGGTTAGACCTGCGTTAGACTTGGTTTAAACCTGGTTTGGTACTGGTTTAGTCCTGGATTTCTGGTTTTAAGTCTTGGTTCCCAGTCTGCAGTGGTCAGTTTCCGTCCGAGGTGCTCAAGACCTGGTTAGTCCTGAGTTAGGCTTAGTTAATTAAATTCATGATTAGTTTAGGTTTAGTTGTGATTTAAACCTGGTTTTGTCCTGGATTTTTCCTGGTTTAAACCTATTTTAGTCTTTGTTCCCAGTCTGCAGTGGTCAGTATCTGTCCCAGGTGCTCAAGACCTGGTTTAGATCTGGGTTAGTCCTGGGTTAGGCTTAGTTAAGTTTGTGATTAGTTGTGGTTTAGTCATGATTTAAACCTGGTTTGGTACTGGTTTAGTCCTGTTTTTTTCCTGATTTAAACCTGTTTTAGTTTTGGTTCTCAATCTGCAGTGGTCAGTATTTTATCCGAGGTGCTCAAGACCTGGTTTAGATCTGGGTTAGTCCTGGTTTAGGCTTAGTTAATTAAATTCATGATTAGCCTAGGTTTAGTCCTGGTTTAAACCTGGTTTTGTCCTGGTTTAGTGCAGCTACTGGAGGGGATACGTTGCTCAGAGTGGTCATTATTTATAGTCCATGGTCAGTCCTGGGTTAGACTCAGGTTGGGCATGATTCAGACCTGGTTCAGTTCTGGTGTGGTCCTGTAAACCAGTATAACAAGTGGTTTAGACTTGCTTAAGACCGGGTTCAATGCCGGATTAATCCTGGGTTAGTCCTGGGTGAGTCCGGTCTTGGTTCCTGGTCTGCAGTGGTCAGTATGTATCAGAGGTGCTTTAAACCTGATTTGGTCTTGGTTTAGTTCTGGATTAGTCCAGATTTAAACCTGGTTCAGTGTGAAGTTAGTCCTGACTTAATCTCAGGGCAGACCTGGTTTAGACCTGGTTTTAGTCTTGGTTCCCAGTCTGAAGTGGTCAGTATCTGTCCGAGGTGCTCAAAACCTGGTTTAGATCTGGGTTAGTCCTGGTTTAGGCTTAGTTAAGGTCATGATTAGTCTAGGTTTAGTCCTGGTTTAAACCTGGTTTTGTCCCGGTTTAGTGCAGCTACTGGAGGGTGTACGTCGCCCGGAGTCATTATTTATAGTCCATGGTCAGTCCTGGGATAGTCTCAGGTTGGACATGACTCAGACCTGGTTTAGTTCTCGTGTGGTCCTGTAAACCAGTATAACAGGTGGTTTAGACTTGCTTAAGACCGGGTTCAATGCTGGATTAGTCCTGGGTTAGTCCTGGGTGAGTCTGGTCTTGGTTCCCAGTCTGCAGTGGTCAGTATCCATCTAAGGTTTGGTCTTGGTTTAGTTCTGGATTAGTCCTGATTTAAACCTGGTTGAGTGTGTACTTAGCCCTGATTTAATCTCAGAGCAGACCTGGTTTAGACCTGGTTTTAGTCTTGGTTCCCATTCTGCAGCGCTTTTTAGTCCTGGGTTACTCTTGGGTCGGACATGGTTCAGATCTGGTTTAGTTCCAGCTTAGTCAAGGCAAGGCAAGTTTATTTGTAGTACAATTTGTACACAAAGTCATTCAAAGTGAAGTCCTGTAAGATAAGAAAGTATAAGAGGTGGTTTAGACCTGGTGTAGTCCTGGGTTAGACTTGGTTTATTTCTGGATTTGTCCTGGTTTAGCCCTAGTTCAGTGCTTGGTTAGTCCGGTCTTGGTTCCCAGATTGCAGTGGTCAGTATTTATCAGTATCAGAGGCACTTTTTAGCCCTGATTTAATCCTGAATTGCAGCTAAAACTCCATCTATAAATGGTTATAATGTTATGTCTGATTGTATTTTTTGTATGTCAAACTTTCAAATTATGAAAAAAAAAAAAACTTTGTTCGGGATGTGACTAAGAAGTGTCATAAAATATGAAACTTTTCCAGTATCGGGGCTCAAGCCAAAACCACAGACTTCTTTTACTCGTGTTCCGTGGACTTTGTGAAATGACCTAAATGTCTGTTCAGTTGTGTATGTTTTTCACTATGCTGAACGTAGCAGTTATCGCATTGATTCTAAACTGTAGTGAATTGGTTGGAAATCATTCTGGCAGTTTGTATCAAAAACTGAAACTGCAAAAAATAATTGTTCAAGTTTTAAATAAAAAATCATGGGAAAATTTAAAAAGTGAAAAGGAGTTTGTTTGTTTGTTTGGTTATTTGTATGTAGATTCATCTTCATATGGAAAAGGTACAGACAAATCATACACCATTTGAACATGTTTTATCTGAATCCTAAAAGATTTGTATATGACAGTGAAAACAGTTACAAGATCTTTGGGAAATATGTGCAGCATGAAACATATAAAACTTTGTAACCTGCAA